AAAAATATAAAATATTTCTTAAAAAATTTGATGTTTAAAATGTAAGGTATTTTTAATTTTAAAATTAATCATTGTCTTTTTTTTAAAAAAAGTGACCCTATTGATGAATGAATTTATATTTATTGTAAGGTATTTAAGGAGATAAATATGAAAAGATAGGATTTATTAAAAGTATGTAACTACTTTATTAAGATAAAATTCAGCTAAAAATATCTAACATTTCTAAACAGAAGAAATATAATATTTTTATATAATATTATATCACCGGTTGAATCAAATAAATCATAAGAAGGTGTCAATCATTACATATTTTTTTTTTTTACTTAATGTCCTAGATTTTAAAACATTGCCTGACAGATTTGGTGGTTTTCATACTTCTAATCAACCACCACTTTTTATAGGAAAGTAACTGGATGTGAGAAGCTGTTAAGTTAGCTACAGCTTAATTTGTAATCTTTGAGCAATGAATCATCTTTTTCTCATTCAAAAAACAAATTAACATTGACCTCGTCTGATTTCGTTTTTTCTTTTGGCGAACAAAAAAAAAAGAAGAGAAGAAGTGGATGGATGGATATGGGATTTGGTCCGCCAGGCTTCTGTTTGATTTGATCATAGTCATATAGCATTATAATTATTTTTTAAAAAGAAAAAAAAGACTAACATTGTTAAATTTAATAATGATTCAAAAGTGATAACAATTAACTTTATTTATAGGATAAGAAATGAATAAAATGTGCATAGTTTGAATTGATTTTAAAAAGTAAATTAAATGTATAAGTTATAAAAGTTTTTCCATATTTTCAGTTTGAAGTTTTTATAATTAAATGATTTCTTAATAAGAAGATAATGATCCAACAAATAAAGTAAATGTCATCTTCTTTCCTTTTGCCTGTTTCTTTCCCTCCAAAAATATTTTACAAATCTATCTATTATGTTAAAAAATATAACCGCTATAGTATTTACAGAAATAGAAGGTGTGAATTAGTAAATTCATACAAACCAGGAACATACCTCCAAATAAACCCGAAAAGAACAATCTTCCGCGTCTAATTCTGACCAATTATGAAACAAAAACGGATAAAGCCCAGGAATCTCTCTCTTCGTCAGCAATTTTTATCTACATGTGTATTAAAGGTCTGAGTTTTGTCCCTCTTCAACAATCAATATAATTTCTTGGCGGATATTTAATATCTCGCCTCCGTCTTTAGATTCTAGTGGGTTTGTTGTTTATCCTTTGATCTATTCCTCAATTATTTGAGTTTTCAAAGAAGCTACATTTTAGGGTTCAAACAAGCCGTCTCCATCAAAGACCCAATCAACGTGCGTGCCCTTTGATCCATTCTAAATAAAATCTTCCTTCAGAAAAGATCATAGCTTTGTTATTTATAGCCAAACATTCTTATAGGTATTTATGGGTTTTTTCTCTTCTGATTTTGTTGATTTCTGACTAGTTACAATGGCCGCTTCCGTTGCTGGAGGTATTGGTAGTAATAGGTCATGTTCTTCCTGGATCAATTTAAAAACAGTGAAAAGAAGCAGAAACGATTGAACAGAGTTAATATTTCTTGTTCTTCCTCTTCTTCTATGATGGATCCTTATAAGACCTTAAGAATCCGGCCTGGTGCCTCTGACTCTGAGGTTAAGAAAGCTTTTAGACAGCTTGCCTTGCAGGTTTGATTCTCAATCTCAGTGCCATAATTGTTATGCTGAAGTTTAGGGTTTTTGTTGTATGCACGCATGATGTTTGATATTTTGCTTCCAATTTGATTTTTCGTTCTTGGGTTTACACTTTAAAGTTATTCGTCTCACCAATATCTAGGGTTTTGGCTATATTGGGATTTCTTTTTCTAATGGAAAATACTGATTGTTTTTTTTTTTCCTTAATTATGTATCTGTTCCATCCAGATGTATGCAGAGGAAGCATTGTGGTGTACAGTTTCACGAAATCAATGAGGCTTATGATGTGAGTTATCTTAATCCCTTCTCTAGAATTTTCATAGTTCTGTAGGTGAATTGAATATTGGTTAATCATTTCTCTGCACTACATTGAAATTGAGAGAGAGAGAGAGAGAGAGACCTACTGCTTCTGAAGTAGCTCCATATCCAATTCAATGGCTGTTCTGTGATTGTCTAGCGAATTGAATATTTAATATTGCATCAGTGGCATGCTTGATTCATTACTCATTGCAGAACCATAAGAGTCAAGATAAGATCAGTCACTTGATGTGTATATATACTTCCTTTGGCCTTAATTATATATTTAAATTTGTTAAAAATACATAAATTTCTAATTTTACCCATTTTTAGAATTATTACCATAATAAATTGATGTATAGGATTTCAAAGGATGCCAATAACTTATTGCAATTAAGGAGTTTTAAGCACCACAATTTTGCCCTATAATTAGGATTGTCTTTAAAATTTTGCCCCATATATATATGTACATATATAATTACTAGACATTCATCTTGCTTTCACAAATTTGCGGTTTTATGTTTATGCGAAAAATGAAGCTGCTGAAGATTGAAGAAGTGAATAGGAGCTAATTGTTGAACAAATTTGCAGTTGATTGTTGGAACTAATGTTGAAAGAGAACAGTAATGGAATGGTTAAGTGGATGAAACGTATCTCATCCAATGCTTACACATATCTGCCACACATATATACATGATCATGTTTTATATATATATATATATATAATAACTTGATTACACATATCTGCCATATATATGTATATGATTTATTTATGTTATTGTTGGTTAGTTGAATTTGAATGAAAGCAACAACTTTTTGTTGAAAATGTATGGAAGCAGATAGTGATGGAGAATTTGAGAGGAGGAGCAAATGGAAGTGAAATGTATGGTGATGATGAAGATGGAGAGAATGATGAATCAATGAGAGGAATGAACGATCCAGATTGGGACTTGTGGGAAGAGTGGATGGGATGGGAAGGAGCTCGAATCCGGGACTACTCATCTCATATTAATCCTTACATTTGATCATTTTCTCGTCGCTTTGATGGCTCTCAATCTTCACAAGCCATGTTAATCCTCAACCAATTCAAGTTGGGGTGAGATGTATCTAGTGGTTGATGTCCTTACTAATTCAAGTCAAATTGGATCCACCGGGTCAGATCTATTTGGTGGTTGGTGTTCTTACTAACTCAAATCGAGTCAGGTTGATCAGATAAGATCATGTGTGCATGGTGGTTGGTGTGATTCCTAATTCAAAGTTGAATCAATGTGTATGGAGTGGTTGGTGCTTGTATATAGTGTCGGTAGGTTGAAAGTCACTCCCATCTGATCAATAATTGGAGCTGAGAGAGCAAGTGACTTTTTGTGTATATATATATATATATATATGAATTATGAATACATTTCAAAAAGGCAAATCAATACTCAGAAGACATTACCTGTAAATTATAATTATTACAGATAAGCAAGGGTGGGATAAAAAAAAATTATTAAGAAAGGTCGAAATGATAAAGTATATATAATAATTAAAAAAAAATTTATATATATATATATATATATCATTGACATAATATAAATATTTTAACATATATATTTATATTCAATACTATACATACATAACAATATATATATATATATATATATTAAGTGTTACTCATTTTAACAATTTATTTTTCAATATAAATTATTATTAAATTGATAAAAATTTTATCATCCTATAAGCATGAAATGATTTGAATACATCATTAAAATTTAAAGTTTATTCAATTTAATAAACTCTATTACCTGCCTTTTGAATTTATTATTTAATTTTTTTGATTGATAATTGTAGTAAATAAATAAATATATCAACATATTAATAATGCTCAATTGTCATAAAATTTTTATATCAATGAGATGGAATTATAACAGAGTAAAAATTATTTATATCATAAATTTTAATAGCTTGATTATTAAGAAAAAGTAATTTTTTGAAAAAAATATCTTCAACAAATTTTTTAACTTTTGAATAAGTAATTTTATTATAGATATCAAACACATAGCATTTAATATATCTTAAAATTTTTGTTGCAATGCTTAACAAATTTTATTAATAATAATTCTCATAATTTTTTTCATTAAATATAAAATAAAAGTCAAATAAAATAATATCAATATTTTAAAAACATATATAACATTATTTTATTGAAAATAAGTAGATTCTATAATAATTATATTTTTAAATTATTAAATAATTTCTTTATACATAAATAAAAAAATTATATATAGAATTGAAATAAAAATTTTATTTAATATTTTATAATTTTTATAATGTGTTAATTTATAAAAATTAAAATATATAACTCTTTTATTTTATAAAAGAAATTAAAAAATTAGGAGGGCCGTGGCCCTTGTTGCTGTCGGTTCCATTCTCTCCACACTGCAGATAAGGGCTATAAATGTCTAGAAATTTCAGAAAGTGACATGAATTCGTACCCCACATGCTTTCCTGATCCTTTCTTAACTCTCAATGGCCAGCTGGGCCATAATAGGCTTTCCATGTGAAAATGGTCTGAATAGTAGTGAGGACAAGAAGCACTATAGCTGCCCCAACTTTGAGGAACATCCACGTGTCAGGAATGTACTTGTTAAATAGGATTTTGATGTCGTTGCTGATCTCAAATCCTAGGATTTTGATGGTGTATCTGATCCCAAGTCCTAGCAGTTCCGGAAAACTCTGGAAATGACGCCACTTGGTCCACCGTCCTGTCACACGAGCACCATGCTGCTTCAATGCGTTCAATTGCTTACATATAGCATTGTATCTGGTATCCATATTTTCAGCCCCGGCTGTCATATTCTGGAAGAAGGCCAGTAATTTCCGGTCGCTGATCCCAAAACCTTCATCCACTACAATGACGTTCTTTGATTTAAGCAGTTGGATGTCTTGAACGGAACAGATTAGGCCTTTGAGAAAATACGCGTAGGAGGTGAACTTGTAGCCGATTCCTGTTAATCTGATCTGCTCCCAAGCAATGAAATTCCCCCACTTCTCTAACGTTCCTTCTTTTACGCACAGCGTCGGAATTATCAGCTTCTTATCATCTTGGTTAAAATCTATATAAAAATCGAACCTCTCCACAAAATCCCTCAGTGCAGAAGCCACCATTCCTGTTTTGTTGTCTGCAATATGAGCGATATTTTAAAGGTGAATCACTAACTAAGTGATAATTCAATAGAAATGAAGATGAACTAGATTTTGGCCCGTGCGATGCACAAGAATATTTTTTTACTTTTTTATAAATATTGTAAAAACATATTAAAGATATTTTTTGAATATTTGTAAGGATCTTTTATCATTTGAAAGGTGAGTATAAAATAAAAAAATGAAAATTTTAAAATGGCTTATTTTTGTGTACTTGTGATATGTTATTTTATGCATATTTAAATTTAAATAAAAATTTATTTTATTTTAAAATTTGTTTTACTATTCATTCGTAACAATTTGAAAGATAAAAATGTTTAAAGGATGAAAATAAAAATAATTTATTTTTGTACACTCAAGATAACATATTTTGTTAATTTACATAAATTAAAGTTTAAATAATAATTTATTCTATAGTAAAAATTGGTTTGACCATACATATTAAAGTTTTCACTCTACATGTTAATTGTGATATTATTAAAAGTAAAATTAAAAAATTATTGTGATATTATCTCATATATATATATATATATATAACACAATTAAATCATGATAGATCTTTTACCTATCATTTTTACTGTAAGTCATACATATAATTTTTCAATGTGCAATTTAATTTCAAAAATAAGCTAATATTTAAGTTTATTTTATTTTATAATTTATTGTTATGTATATTTTAAAAATAAAATTAAAGAATATTTTATACAGAATTTATTATTTCATTTGAGTTAAGATTTGAAATAATAAAAACTATACATCAAATTATACACATATTTTTTTATAATTTATATAAATTAAGTTTGTAATCTCATTGCAATAAAACATTTTATTTTATGATTTATTATTTAAATTTATATTTTATAATATAATTAATTATCTTATACATATAAAAAATATAAACAATAAATAATAAGTAGAGTTCTTACATTTACCAAAAATATTATACCTTATATTATTTTTCATTATGAATTCTATGTTCACAAATATTTTTTATTATGATCAGAATTTTTTTTGGGGACAACCCACAATAGATTTTAGTCTATAAGAATTATTTTTAAAATATAAATATATATATATATATATATATATGGTAAGTGTTCATCTACTGTGGATGAACACTGACGATATGCCCTTTACTTCAACATTACCGGGAGGAGAGCTTCTAATGGTTGGTGAGCTGGAATCAATTTCGAGTCCCATGGCTTGGAGCTCCTTGGCGCAGCGCTTCAGTTCTTGTTTAGCTTTCACGGATGTCACATTCTTGTTTTTGTCATAGGGATCCGGGGAGCACGAGTGCATGAGATGAAGGAAATGATGAACAACACCGTTATTGGAGATGTCAGCGCTGGCAACCTTGCATCCAAAGAGTGACTCGGCAAGTTTTAGGGGATGAAGTCCTTTACGAGTTTTTTCGTGCAAAACATGGAGAACAAGGAAAGGGATTTGGTTCTCGAGCAGCGTGAGATCAGTGAGAACACGCAAGATCTTTTTCTTGTCATCGACGGTAAAATCCAGAGGAGGATCAATCTCATCGTCACGGAACGGCGGATCTTTGATGACATTTTCGTAAAGCCTGAGCAGAAGCTCCAAGAGGAAGCAGCCATCAAGTAGCATTATTCCGACAAGCTCCTTTGCTCCCACTTTGATTTTCTCCCCATCGTCATAGCTGGCTCGAATTATACCCTCTAAGCTTTGCAGGCGCCCGCTGCAATCTCTAAGGGCGGCCCTCCAGTCTGGCTGACGCTCACTCTCAGTAGGACGCGAAAGAAGCCGGTACACGTAGCGTAATTCAGTCTCTTCCATGATTTGCAGTTCGCTTCCGGTTTCCCTGTGAATGGGTCCCATGGCCACAAGCTGAGGCCTGTAACTGAGGCCCGTAGCTCTAAGTTTCTCTGGAACCCTCCAAATGGTGCGCGTCTTTACGTTGAATTCATTTACGAATTCCAGTGTCCCTTCAATGTCAATGATCCATTGACGCCCCAGCCCCAGCACCGGCGGCCGACGTATTGGGCCTTGCACATAACGATTTATTAAGTTTATTAGTCAAACCAAAATTTCAAAATGAAATAGAAAGAATGACATTCTGGGATATTGATTCCAATGTACAATGAAAATCATTACTTTAATTGTGTTTTTATTGATAAATAAATTTGCAAAAAGAGAGTAGTTATTTTTTATTTTGTTTTAATCAATAACTCAATAAAATTAGTCATTTCCTAATGTACAATAGTGACAAATATGTTATTTCATCAAAAACCAAAATGATACACAATTCATGAAGATTAAATAATAATTATTATATTTTATGATAAGTTTTTTTTTTTTTTTGGAGAATGACATGTCTCAAATGATTGAATTATAATAGTTAAGTGCTCAACAAATTTTTTTAAAAAATAAATTGTAAATATCAATTCAAACAGTTATAAATAATTTAAGAATTATATTTAATATTTAAATATTTATTTTCAATTAAAACTTCTTAAATTATAATTACTTTGATTGATATTTTTAATTTAATTTTTTAAAAAAAATTTCAGGAACTTGACTGTTGTTAATTTAATGTTCTGGGATCTAACTATCATTTTTCTTCTTTTTTTTTTTGTCATTTCCCCAAGTTTAAAATTTATGTTCTATTAATTTGATTTAAAAAAGTATGTTTGAGTAATTACTCCTAGTTTGGTTGGAGAGGCTCCTTTTGTTTGGATAAGGCGGCCATCCCTTTCTTTCCAAATTAGGGATTGATTTAAGCAGTTAATATTATACATTTAATATAATTTTCTCCAATTAAATTAAAATAAATGAATTTTAAAATATTAATAATAAGAAATTTTTATATAATAAATAATTTATAAAAAATTCATATATTTTATTTTAATAAGAAAACAAGCACTTTAAGTAGACAAGACCAAGGGCATGTTTGGTCTCCTTTTTTAAAAAAAATGAAAAAGTTATTTGGGTAAGCATACTGCATTTAAATGTTTTCAAAAAGGTTCTCATTTCTTGTTTTTTTTATAAAGACGGAAACAATTTAGTGTTGTTTTCATTTTTTTTATTTTTAAAGAACATGATGTTTGACTATTATAAATTATTTTAAGTTATGCTTAACCACTATCACAGGCCATTATTATTAATCATTAGTAACTATCATTTTGATCATTTTTTAATTTTAAAATTGTTTTCAAAATTAACATGATCAAATACATTTTCATTTTTTTAAAAAAACAGTTTGTAGAAAATTGGTTTACAAAGTAGTTTTCAAAAATAAAAAGGAAAACACAAGTTTTGGTCCTTGTACTGTCACACAAGTTTTGATTTTTATAATTTCAGAATGACTTTCATGTGACACAAACAATATTAAGAATGCCAACATGCCGATTAACACCATTAAATTTGGAGCGATTTTTATACAAATTCAGTGCATCAAGTCATTCATGTTCTATCTAATAAAATTCTATTAATCTAATCAAATAAAAAAAAAAGTTATATCAGATAATAAAATGCTGACCTGCCATTAAAAACAAAAGCCCTGGCAGCTTCAAACGATGAGCAAATCTGGGAGAAGGGCCCAAGAAAGTCAATCCAACTGGCAGCGAAGAGGGAAGCAGAGATGAAGGAGAAAAGGCTTATGAGTTCTGAGCACGAAAGGATTCAGAGCACAGTCCCCATTATATAATGAAACAAGGGACCACGTGATACTTGACTTGATGATTTTTTTTTTTTTTTGGTGGGGGGGAATAAAAAAGGACCGGAGGGGACGTGCTCGTTCAGTAAAGGATATTGATAATCATGAACCCACTAATCTTAATTGAGTCCAAATGAGAACAATATGGAACATGCACAATCTCCTGTAGACCCAATTTGCAAATGATTAACTTAGCTTTGAGTGAGATTGAGATCAAACGGATCTGACAAGAAATACCATAGCCTGTGAGCTTAAGAAAAAAAGGAACTCAAAGATGTTCCTTGTATGCTTCCGCTCGACAACGTAGGGAAGTAGACAGAATAAATGATTTTATTTTTTTTAATGGATGAAAAATAATAGAGGATTTAAACTACATAGAAAAATATTTTATTATCTTAATTAAAAAATATGAGAAGATTACCTCCCATCTTCATCTAATGGCTTGTATTAGATTTTGTGTGTGTGTGTGTGTGTGTGGCTAAAGTAGCATTTGTTTATGATATGATAATGGTTACTGTCATTTGTACTCTCTTTCTTATCCTAATTAGTTTGCCCCACTGAGCTCGGGTCTTGAGGCAGCCATTGCACATAAAGTCATAACTTGTCTTAATAGAGTGTTAGTCATCCAATAACCATTTAAGTCACATCCCATGTGCAAAATGGAAGTGGGGACTCTTCATTTTTTTTCTCTCAATTTCCCTCCACTTTTTTCATCCACACCATTCATTAATTTTATCATTTAAAAAAAATTATTTAATAAAAAAAATTAAATGGTGGGAATGGGGGAAGTGGAGGGAAAGGGAGGGAAAAAAATGGAGACACCCTTTGCCCGTGCAAAACATATACCATAAAACTACAAGAAGTTGATATCAGAAACCAAGGTTGATTGTTCCCTTGAGGAGTTGCATTAATGGACTCAGCATGCGTAGGCTTCTTTGCAAGTTGCTTATTGAGATCTTTACAAGTCCTTTAATTATATCTATACTTCTCACAACATGAACATTTAAAGCTTATATTTTCTGTCCTCGCCTTTGATGTTGCATCGTCATTTGCCCCTCTTTTTTGTTTCTTAAACACATGTGGCTTCTCCAATGGTCTTTCAATCACTAAACAAAAAATTGTCTACAAGCTGCATCTCTTAGGTTCATTACAATAATCTTTTAGCTAATGCTATTGCTCCTTGTAATCATCATCAATTGTTACCTATGCCCTTCTCCTTGCCTTGAATATGCCTTTCACATAAATACATCAACCATATAATGGTCCCTTAATACAATAATAATGTTAGATAGTTTAATGTTTTGTTTGTCTTCAAGATGTTGGCTATCTTTTTGAAATCCACTCATAAGAAGCTAGTTTTATGTGTGTTTAGACAAAAATGTTTTTAAATGATATGTCAATTGACTATCAACTTTATTTACAAGAATTAATCATTTACATTTCTTTTGTGCACACTCAACTCAACACCCCACCATATCATTATTTATAAACTTCATATCCATTTTTATACTTACCTTTAGGCACACCGTCATCCTGATAGGATTCAAGATAGGTAGAAAGAAATAAAAAAGATAAATTTTTATTAAAATATAAAATTAGAATCTAACTTTATATATTAATAACAAAAAATGGAGCTGGTAAAAAGAAATAAAAAGAATAATTATATTAAGATAATACAGAACAAGAATTATTTTGGTCTAAACACAAGAATTATTTTGGGCTAAACACATGTGTGCTTAGACCAAAATGTTTTTAAATGCCAAAATGTTTTTAAATAATATGTCAATTGACTATCAACTTTATTCACAAGAATTAATCATGTACATTTCGTTTGTGCACACTAAATTCAACACCTCACTTCATCATTATTTATAAACATCATATCCATTAAAGTAAGCCATATTCTCTCAGTACATCCTTAAACTGACTGAGTCAAGTAAACTCTTGATACCTAACTTGAATTGCAACTCTTTAGCATCCCAAGAGGATTGTATTTTTTATACTTACCTTAGGCACACTTTCACCCTGAAAGGATTCAAGATAGATCAAAAAAATAAAAAAGATAAATCTTTATTAAAATATAAAATTAGAATCTAACTTTATATATTAACAAGAAAACACGAAGCTAATAGAAAAAAATAATAAGAATAATTATATTAAGATAATATAGAACAAAAATCATTTTGGCCTAAACACATGTTTTTAAATGATATGTCAGTTGACTATCCACTTTATTTACATGAATTAATCATTTACATTTCTTTTGTCACTAAACTCGACACCCCACCTCATCATTATTTATAAACTTCATATCCATTAAAGTAAGGTATATTCTCTCAATACATCCTTAAATTGACTAAGTGAAGTAAACTCTCAATGCCTAACTTGAATTGCAACTTTTGGCATCCCAGAAGGATTGAACTTTTTATACTTACCTTTAGGCACACTTTCATTATGATAGAATTCAAGATAGGTAGAAAGAAATAACAAGGATAAATTGTTATTAAAATATAAAATTGGAATCTAACTTTATATATTGATAAGAAAATATGGAACTGGTAAAAAGAAATAAAAAGAATAATTATATTAAGATAATATAGAACAAGAATTATTTTGGCCTAAACATACAAAATGTTTTTAAATGATATGTCAATTGACTATCAACTTTATTCACAAGAATTAATCATGTACATTTCTTTTGTACACACTAAACTCAACACCTCACTTCATCATTATTTATAAACGTCATATCCATTAAAGTAAACCATATTCTCTCAGTACATCCTTAAACTGACTGAGTCAAGTAAACTCTCGATGCCTAACTTGAATTGCAACTCTTTGACATCCCAAAAGGATTGTATTTTTTATACTTACCTTTAGGCACACTTTCACCCTGAAAGGATTCAAGATAGGTCAAAAAAATAAAAAAGATAAACATTTATTAAAATATAAAATTAGAGTCTAACTTTATACATTAATAAGAAAACATAGGGTTGACAAAAAGAAATAAGAAGAGTAATTATATTAAAATAATATAGAATGAGAATCATTTGGCCTAAACATGTGTGTTTAGACCAAAATGTTTTTAAATGAGAAGTCAATTGACTATCAACTTAATTCATAAGAATTAGTCATTTACATTTTGTTTGTGCAAACTCGACACCTCACCTCATCATTATTTATAAACTTCATATCCATTAAAGTAAAGCATATTTTCTTAATACATTCTTAAATTGACTAAGTGAAGTAAACTCTCAATGCTTCACTTGAATTGAAACTCTTTGGCATCCCAAAAGGATTGTATTTTTTCATACTTACCTTATAGGCACACTTTTACCTTGATAGGATTCAAGATAGTTGAAAGAAATGAAAAAGATAAATATTTATTAAAACATAAAATTGGAATCTAACTTTATATATTGATAAGACAACATGGAGCTGATAGAAAAAACTAAGAAGAGGAATTACATTAAGGTAATATAGAATAAAAATCCTTTTGGCCTAAACAACATGTGTTCAGACAAAAATGTTTTTAAATGGTATGTCAATTGACTATCAACTTTGTTCACAAACATTAATCGTTTACATTTCTTTTATGCACACTAAACTCAACACCCAACCTCATTATTATTTATAAACTTCATATCCATTAAAGTAAGGCATATTCTCTTAGTACATCCTTAAACTGACTAAAAGAAATGTAAAAGATAAATCTTTATTAAAATATAAAATTAGAATCTAACTTTATATATTAATAAGAAAACATGGAGCTGATAGAAAGAAATAAAAGAGTAATTATATTAAGATAAAATCTTGCTCTATACTTCTCTCAATAGCCATGATTAGGAAAATCTTCAAAGTGCTTAAAAGTCTATTTTATTCATGACATGTTAGCTTTTGAGTTATTAAATATACTTATAATGCTAAATACAATTCAAAATAATTTAATATATGAATAAAATTTAAATAACTAAATATATGAATAAAATTTAAATAATATTATTAAATAGACAATGTCTAAAATAAGTTAAAAATAATATTTATTCTAACCTTTCTCTAACTCCCCAATCACCCATTATCTCTCATTAATCCGTATCACATCCTCATCATCTTTGGATGCTGCATCTTTATGAAACTATCAGATTCATAATCAAATAAGAAAGCCAATATCTTCTCCTCTGTAATCTCAGGTAAGTTCCTACTTCCTATCATCAACTAATTGATTAGGTGGAGCTATCATTAATTATAAATTACTCTCTTTCTCTCTTTCTCTGTTAAAGAATATAAAATATTTTTAAATAAATTTTACTTCTTAATAAAGTAATTACTTATCTTCAAATTAATATCATCTTTTCATATTTATCCTTATTTAATGAGATATTTCTCTATAAAATAAATATAAAGTAATTTATTTATTACGAGCACTTTTAAAAAAATTATAATTATATTTAAAATATTAAAAATATTTCATACTTTTTAAGATCAAACCTCTCAAAAAATGTGAGAGAGTACCTACTACTTCATCTAATATATCACGAAGGCCAACACCAATATCAACTAATTGGTTAAAATAACCATCATCAATATGTTCAAAATTACTAATATCAATGTCTGACAAAGTCTCCTCTCCACTACCCTTCCCTTTGCCACCGTCATTATGTTCATTCCCCAAGTTCATATTATACTTTGCAGTAAATTGGAAAACTTCAATAATCATTCTCAATAGAAAAAGAGAGCAAAAGACAGAGCCATATAAAATGCAGAGCAACGAACTTAAGATGAGCGTGGAGGATAATAGACCAAGTGTATACAGACGACAACCAGAGGCAATGATCAGCCAATAAACACATTCCAAAATCCATAATCATAAGACAAAGTGCGGAGGAGTTAAATGCCGATTGATGCCTCGTTGGATTCAAGGGATAGAACACACAGAGAACAGAGACGACAAATGAGCGATCCTCACCTCTGTCGCACGTGTCAAATGTCGAGGTCTTGTCTAACATTGTCCGATGATCATCCACCACCGTTGACTATTGGGAGGCATCATCCGACACTCTTTTCCGGCATCCTGGGGTTGTGGGGTCACTGGGTCCCGATTTCTCTTTTCCACGTCGTTTGGTGCCCAGGTTGTGCCCAGAAAATGTACTTGTTAATATATTGCTGATCGTTTCATGCTAAGAGGGTATTTTTTTAATTCCATGTCAGCGTTTTTTTTAATCTAATTTAACCTTTTTTAATTTTGCTGATTTAAAATTACATCTCTGGACCAAGTTAACCCCTTAGCACAAACTTAACAGTATCAGAGAACTTATTAATATTTTTAATATTATTTGTATCACATCAATGTTACTGTAAAAATATAGAAATCAATATTATAAATAGTGAAAACTACAGGAATTTGAGACAAAAAAAAAAGTATAAAGACCTGCATTAAAACTAGTGCAAAGCATAAGAACAAAAAATTATGTTTTTTCAAAAAAGAAAAACATAAGAACAAAACCAAACAAGCTCTACATGTAAGTTTTTTTCTTTTTGATGGGCATAACTCATTTTAACTATCTCACTTCCCCTAGTAATCGTGCATTTAAAATGCTTCTAATTTGAACAAGAATTCATTCATCCATTCTACCGGCAAAAATATGAATTGATAAAGCCACTTCAAGAGCGATACTAACAAAAAAAGACAAGTCAGAGATGACATCAATCAATTTTCATATTAGATGTTAATAAAAATTGATCTAGTTAGTAAGAATTTATTTATAATCTATAAGATTGTGAGATCAAATTTTATTATTGATATGAATATCTTATTGACAGGCAATTTAAAAATATTTTTATAGGCATTTCTTGTACCTGAAAGCATGCCTTGCCTCTTTCAAAATCAAACTCACCAAAGCTCTACTTTATCAAAAAAAAAAAAATTCCTTGTTGGATTGCTCAATTTGTAACCTCAACTGGCCAGAAAGTGAAAGCTGGATTATGGAATTCAAACTTTCAACGTACAAGAACTTCCTTGAAAACCATGTGATTTTGGATTAAATGGTGCAACCACGTCGTCTACTCAAATTACTACAAACTGGTTACAAAACATGGGACGTCTTCAAATTCTGATGCTGGCACTACAAGAAGCTTTGATTTTCATTAATAATCAACAGGGACTCTTCAATGTTTATTGTTTCCCCACGAGGCTTACTTTTAGCTACATTCTTTCACTCCTAATATTTCACAGATAAACGGTCAATCCCCTTACCGTTATAAAACCTACATTAGACAGAGTTAGCTTTTCTCCATTTTTTATTTTTTTCACTTTCCATCTCAACCATTAAATCTTTTTTTGAATGGTTGAGATTTAATGATTTATAAAATTAAGTTTTTATTTTTAATTATAATCTTAAATCTTGAATTGTAGTTTAGATAAAGTTAATTATATCTTAAATTTATTTATTTTGTCATGAATTTAATGATTTAATAATAATTAAAAAATTAAAAAATTGATTTTATAAAACATTAAATCTCAACCATTCAAAAATAAATTTGATGGCTGAGATGAGAGATGGAGAGGAAGTGGAAAGAAAAAAAATGGACAAAACCAACTCTTAATCAAACAATGCCACTTTTCTTGGTAGATACACTTTTGTACAATATATTAAAGAGTTAAATGAGCAAAATAGATCCCGATCATTAATTTTTTAATAAAATTACTTCTCACACAATACTGTTCACAGTGAAATTATGTTTAAATATTAGAAAATTTTAATTAACTGATTAATTTGAGTTTCAAATTCATTAATAAAATCATCAGCTTTCACATCGTTTGTAAAATTCTATGATATTTAAACTTTTTTTCAAATGGCATCCTAAATTTTCACCATTAAATAAATAAGTATTATTCAAAATAAGACTAAATCAAATTATGGAGTTTACGGAAGCATGAGATAACAATCGTTTGAAAAATATTATAAAAAAAGAAAAAAACATCATTTTACAAAATTATAGGTTATTCATCGATCAACGATGCATTCACCGCGGTGAACCACACTGAGACTAATTTAGTCTACATAATAGTTAACTTTCTATACATAAATGATGGGGGTAATTTGCTTAAAATTTTAAATTTAAAATCCAAAATATTACTAATAGTTTAAGATCTTTGGTGCTAATTAATAATGACACGTCAACATTTATTAGGGCCCACTACGAACAATACGGTGTTAAAAAATTTAACAGTCAAGATTCATTTTTCTACGAATTTAAAAGTGTAAAATTTATTTTATACATTTTAAAAGTTCAAAGTCTATGTCGCTTTTTGAGCAAAAATTTAAAGTCCATTTTACTCATTAACCCTATATTAAATAATAATACTATCTTGTTTTATTAAAAAACAAAAGTATGATTCTCATATAACCCGTGTCTATGCCTTAGAGATTATGGCAAAATGTTCCAAATTATGTAGATTTTTTTTTAATATTCCTCATTAAATACATATTTTTTATTTGTATAAATTATTTTGAAGCTTTATACAAGATGATTAATCAAATACATCCGAACTATTTTTTATTGATAAAATTTTTTTGGGTTGAATTTTTTCTCTTTTTTGTTGAAATGTTTAAATTAGTTTGGTATTATTTTGCAGCTAAGTCTAACAAGCCTCATAGCAGGATTCAAAGTTCGAGCCTATACTTCTAGAGTATGAGTTGTATCCTCACCAACCAAAAATTATTCATTGGCTGTTTAGGTACACTTTATTTATGGTATTTACTACCAATCATGTTAGATATATCAACCAAGCCACTGGAAAGAATGAAGTTGAATGGAAAGCTGTTAGCCATCAAATTTTGCAAACGAGCAAAGCAATGAGTAGTGCTACATGGACTACATCACTAAGAATGACAAGAAGGAAGAACATCTCTGCCATACAAAAAGCCGGAAGAGGAAAAGGGAGATATAATAAAATGTTATCACGCCATAAAGCTTTGATTGACAAGTAGTCTAACTGGATTAAGCTATTTATAAATGCAAAGCGTAAGATCACTTAGCAGAGCCGGATGAGAGTCTTTGGCTCCTTGCTTTGTCAGCTCTCTCCAGGTAGTCTTGATGAGACATTTGTTTGGTTCCTGCATGGAAACAAAAGTGCAGATCAGTTAAATGGGCATGGATGAACTGTTTGTCTGTTTGATTATCAGAATAATCAACCCTCTTTGAATGCTACATTAAAGGCAATCATAATTCATAACACAAGGTAAAGAAAACATCACTGAAGGTGCAGAGATGATTGTTCATAATGTCTAACTTGTAATAGAAAGTGCCATTAACATGAAGAATAGAATGCACTTACTTGAGACAAGATAGTTTGTATGGTTCATGGAATGGGTCCAAGACTAACTTTGGAGCGAGGGACTAGAAACAATTACATAATTTGCGAGTGAGAAGCACTGAATAACATGCACCACTATTAAGCAACAACGCACAGACACGTACACAAGACACATACACAGCACGGCACCATCCTATACTGAAAGTACCTAGCACTGTTGTTTTCTTTAAACGGTTCTTGAGATTCATCAGTTTATGAAGAAGAATTGGCATATCAGTTTTGGTTTTACTCCAAAATCAGAAGTGTACAACCAATCTGCTGATGGAACGGACACCAGGGTTTTGAGAACAAAATTGCCTTTTGTTACTTTTGAAGATGTCCCAACTTGCAGGATTGTTTTGGGGTTCCTTCCACAAGTGATTTTTTATTTCTTATTGTAACAGCGCTTAGTCCCTCCCTTTATTTACACTTCAAACTAGGTTATGATGCAAAGTTTATACATGATGCAAGTGTTCTATGTTGACAGAAAAGCCTAGTGCATTATGGTTTATAAACTGCACCATGCATGTTGAAAATTCAGAACTTCAGGATCCCCATGGCACCATTTGTATACACAATACCTAATGGATTAATTAAAAAGGCTAGAGGAGGCTTTTAGCAGAACACAGCAAATATTCAATGGCTAAAATTTCTGAATCATCCATTTTAGCTACATACAAGTATGTTTCTAGGTTGCATATGTACTTGAGGTTGTTTTTAAGTATGATAAAATGCCCATAGTACCAATATCATCATCTCATATTGATTTAAGTGCTGCCTCTGTCATGTGAGAAACTTTATTTATATGATTCATTCTAATTGTTTTTAATACAAGACCTTTTACAAAAACCAAAGAAACTTTTATGACTCACTTCTGAAAATTACCTTCCTTCACCGCTCTCATCATCTATCTCATCTCAACTTGATTAAGGGTGATTTCAAAAAATTATAAAGAAATTTTATAGTTAACCTACGTAAAGTAGTTGATAGACCAGAGGACGTATTAGGCAAGGAATGTGTTGCTATGGAAACTATAAAAGCATTAAAAGTAAAATTCAGCATCAAACTGGCATCTTATTCTTATCAAGTATCAAATTTATTTTAAGGCAAGAGCACCTTGTTGATTCATGAAACATGAATCCAGAAAGAATGCTCAATACTCATAGTATGCCACTAGCATACAATTATAAGATCCCAATAATCCCATATGTCCCGCGCAATACTTAGTCTTGGACCTCGTAGTAGAGGGACGCATGTAGAATGCTAACATATGCATGAAAATAGGAACCGATCTATGCCATCACAATCCAGTATTGCAAGAGCACGGAAGCATTTAGATTGCAACTGTGAAGTTCAAAATT